CGCTCTCAGCTTCGGGTGATACACGTGGCTCTCGAGATCGAAGTTTCAACATGACGTTGCTTTGTCCCTCACAACCCGCCGACCCCTGGCCTTCAAGCCGCTCACACTGAAGGGAAAGAAGTTGCTGCCGCCAGGCCTCACTTCACGCGAGTTCTTGCTTGAACATTCCGGACCGTACCTGGAACGGAGTTTCGACTCTGCACCAGATCCCCGTGTTCCATCTTTCCATCCCGATGCCTGGCAACGCAAGGTCCTTGACGCCATAGATGCCAACAAGAGCGTACTTGCTGTAGCGCCGACATCAGCGGGAAAGACGTTCATCTCATTCTATGCCATGAAGAAAGTCCTGCAAGCGAACGACGACGACATTTTGGTCTACGTGGCGCCCACTAAGGCCCTTGTCAACCAAATTGCTGCTGAAATCCAGGCGCGCTTTTCCAAGCACTACGGCAATCGGGAGGGCCGGTCTGTCTGGGCGATCCACACGAGGGACAACAGTGTCAACAGCCACAAGGGATGCCAGATTCTGGTGACGGTGCCCGCGATCTTGCAGATCCTGCTCCTAGCGCCCCTGAACGCCAAGACCTCCACAGACTTTTCGCGTCGTATCAAGCGCATTATCTTCGACGAAGTGCATTGTATCGGTCAGTCGGACGAGGGTGTAGTCTGGGAGCAGCTTTTGCTGCTTGCGCCGTGCCCCATCATTGCTCTCTCTGCAACGATCGCGAACGTCGATGAGTTTAGGTCATGGCTTGAGCAATCTCAAAAAGTGAAGGGGTTTGAGCTCGAGATGATCGTGCACTCGTCAAGATACTCCGACCTTCGCAAGTTCATCCACGATCCGGCACCATCAGTCTCTGAGTTTACCGGCCTTGCTCCGGTTGAGCGGTTGCCTTATCCGGGGCTCGACGCTGAGCTCACCGAAACTGACCCCACGCCGTTTTTGTTTATCCACCCCATCGCAAGCATCGTTGACAGAAACCGGGATACGCTCAACGATGCGAGCCTAGAGCCAAAAGACTGTCTGAGTCTTTGGAAAGCCATGAATAAGCATGCGAGCTCGGCATATCCAATGCCACCATCTCTGGACCCCAAGAAGGCGTTGCCGGAGGTGGTTGGAAAATCCGATGTCGTTCGATGGGAGGTGGCACTCAAGGATCACCTTGCCGAGTGGATGACCGATTCGAAGTCCCCGTTCGATGCCGTACAGGACGAACTACGTGGGGATCGGTACTCACGATTGGCCGAGTCGTACACGGAACTCGGCTCTCCGGACGATAGCGGTGAGGCTGTTGTTGATGCGGCTGAGAAATGGCCGTTGGTATCGACCCGTTCAGTCTTCTCCCTCGTGACAGATCTGCGCGCCAGCGGTGCGCTGCCGGCCATTTTGTTTAATTACGACCGCGCGGAGTGCGAAGCGATTGGTACCCATCTGTTTGAAGTTCTCACAATGGCGGAGAAAAAGTACCGGGCGACAAACCCGGCTTGGATCGCTAAGATCGCTGCGTTTGAAGCCTGGAAGAAAGTCCAGGAGGCCAGCAAAGCCAAAAACCCGAAAAAGGCTAGCAGCAAGCGTCGTGAGGATGATGGGGATGAGCAGGGGAAGGCCAACTCGGCACGGGATGCAGCAAACCGCGATGTGAGCAAGTGGGAAAGCTTCGATCCCGATGCGCCACTCGCCCAGTTCAGCTTTGCGGATAACACGAAGATCTCGAAAGAGGAACTCAAGGAGCGACTAGGGACCATCTGGGCAGACGCCGTTCAGCCCCCCTTCGTCGATGCGCTGCGCCGGGGTGTGGGTGTGCATCATGCGGGTATGAATCGACAATACCGCCAAGTGTACGTCGAGCTTTCCTTACTTTAACCCTCTGTTTTGCAGAAGCATCTCGTACTGACCTAGGCTTGTCTTATTTAGTGTCGAGATGCTCTTCCGAAAGGGCTACCTCACGGTCGTCATCGCAACAGGGACCCTGGCGATGGGTATTAATATGCCCTGCAAGACCGTCGTCTTTACAGGCGACTCCATCTTCTTGACAGCCCTCAACTACCGGCAGGCTTCTGGCCGCGCGGGTCGTCGAGGGTTCGACATGCTCGGCAACGTCGTCTTCCACCACATGCCACCGCACCGCGCGCTCGAGGTCATGTCGGCAAAGCTTCCTGACTTGCGAGGGCAGTTCCCGGCATCCGTCACGCTGATCCTGCGCTTGTTCATCCTGCTCCACGGGACGGATAATTCAAGCTTTGCCGCCGATGCGGTCAAGTCCCTGATCACACAAAACAGGCTTTACCTTGGAGGCCCGGAGGCCCAGATGTCCATTACCCACCACTTGCGTTTCTCCATCGACTACCTCCGGCGCCAGAATATGCTGTCCAAAACTGGTGTCCCGCTCAACTTCGCCGGGCTAGTAGACCGCCTTCACTACACTGAGTCCGCCGCCTTCGCCTTCCAAGCGCTGCTACAGGGAGGCTATTTCCACGAAGTCTGCGCCGGCTTCTCCCCGACTATCAGCCTAGCCAAATGGCGGGAAATGGCTCTTGAACTAGTCCTGACGTTGAGCCACCTCTTCGTGCGCATACCGTACACACGCCCACAGTCCCAGACCACTCGCAAGACTTGCCTTCCCCCGCTGCCTCAAAAGGCGCACGATCTGCTTGCTCGTCACAACGCGGAAACCCTCTCCATCTTCCGTGGCTACGTGCAGTCCTACGTAACCCAGCACCTCTCCAACACGCCAGACACCACCCTCCCGCTAACCCAGCACACCATCTCGCCCACCACCGACCTCACAACAACAACCCTTCCTCAAGCACTGCCGAA